AGAGAGAGAGAGAGAGAGAGAGAGAGAGAGAGAGAGAGAGAGAGAGAGAGAGAGAGAGAGAGAGAGAGAGAGAGAGAGAGACTCTTTTACATGGGTTTTCCTGGACGCATCCAAACTTAATTACCTCCAGATCTAGCATTTTCTGACATCATACTTACACTCGGGCCTTTGCAAGTCCAAGACTCCATTTGTAATATTTTTTATTATTTTGTAATGAAAGGGCCTTTACGAATTAGACCCCAGATGAGTACCCCAACAGCGAGGGGCCCTGTCGGCCAGAACTTAAATTCACGAGCAGCAACCAAAAAGACAAAGTTCCTGAGGCAAATGTCACATCCATAATGAAATGAAAGGTCATTTTGAACAGTCACAAACAGGTCCTGAACGAACAGGTATTGGACACAGTTTTTAAATCTGAGAAAGGGTCATGTCTCCTCGATGGAAAGTCACGTCTGTTCGGCAATGAATCAAAGGCCACAGTCCCAGTCCAGTCATAATCCCACAAGTCAGTCCTGATTCAGACCAGGAGTCCAAAAGACAGGCCCGATGGCCCAAAGCAGCAGCAGACCATGGGAAAAGATACTGGGACACACACTTTGCAACAACGGGTACTGGGCAGGAGTCCCAGACACTTGAGGCTGAATGCAGGGCACGCCAGACCAGTCGAGCACTATAAAGGACAGGCCAGCCTCCCATTTGACAGATGCTCACTTCGCATGAGAGTGTGGAAGTGCCGTGGCACTTGTGCCCTGGATGTGTGTGAGCTGAGCTAGGCTGTGAGCAGCGCTACGCGAAGAAGGGAAGAAGGGCACTGGCTGGAAGGAAGGCGGCCATAGCTGCACCAGTGCTAGTTAGTATATTACTAGGGATAGTTAGTAGAAGATACCAGTGAGTAGTATTCAAAGTAGATCCTCGTGTGATAGGGAGTGTGCATGCATGATGAGTGAGGGTAGACCAGGACTATAGACATAGAGGGGGGGAGAGAAGAAGGCAGACGAGAGAGGGAGAAGTGTGAGCTATGGTGACACTTACCTGTTGAGCGCTGTTGTGGATGTTTGGCATCTGGCGCTGATGAGCGTCAGGCTTGGAACTCATGTTGATCGAAGAAGACTTGTAACTCTGTTTAGCGCTATACATTTTGGACTCACGAATTTCCTCTCTTAATCTGGTCATGATAATTGAGTTGAGCTTCCTGTTTCTCATTCATCTTCTGTTGGGTTTTGTGTGAGACATCGCAATCTGTGAAATCTGTGGGTATGCATGTGATCTGATGCACTCCAGCAAGTGATGAACAGTCGGGTTCCTTGCAGTAATAGTTGTCTGTTATATATTCCCAAAGATATTTAGTCGACCACTGCTCATGTTTCCCTTATCTTACACATGTGCTCTTTTCTCTTGGCTGTTCTTTTGTTGTTCTGCCAGAACAATCGCATCAGCCTCAGCATGCGGGAGAAAGTTGATGTGAGTGCAAATACACCATCCTACGTACCTGCCAGCTACGGAACTCTGTTTTGCGTGCCTACCTCGTCTTCTTCTTCTCAGTCTTGTTCTTCTTTTGCTTCATCATTTTTAGAAGGACAATGGTCTTGAGATGTTGTGATTCGACTGACCAGCCCAAGGTAATTCAAGAGTTGTTGTCATTATATTTTATTGATGATGGGATAATTCTACCAGTCCTGTGGGGGCCGGCGGGTAATGGCCGTGCACGTGGCTACTATTTTTATTTGTCTACAGGACAGAGCCTCATTTGTCCTTTGGCAAAAGTACCTGAGCAGACACACAACCGGTTCCACCGAAGCAAACCCTATTGGAGCTAATCATTTCTTTGACTTTTTTTTTACGACTTCGTTTGTGACAGGTCTCGAGGATAAACACTGATATGAATGTTGGTGATGATGAGGCACTCAAGCCTTTCCAGCTAGCATTCCGACGGGCGAATCTTATTCGCGATAGCTTTCCCTCTCTCAACCCAGATGCTGATGCAGCTCCTTCTCTGGCCGATGAGTTGGAGGTGAAGGATGCAAAAAGTACAGAAGGGGAGGAAGTGGATGTGGCTCCGGAAACTGAAGCAGTGGCAGAGCTGGAGGATGCAGCAGAACCTTCATCGACTGATGAAAATGCACAGCTTGAGATTGCCGGTGCCGCCGAGGCTATTGCAGCTGAGTCGCAGGGAGTTGATGAACTTGCTGCCGCCGAAGAGTTGAAGGTGGAGGATGCCGTAGAATCGATTGCAGTGCCAATGGAAATCCCAGACAGTCCGGTCTCTGAGGCCACCGACGACTCGAGTCCAGGTAACGTAATGGAGAATGCTGATGTGAGCGCTGAAGTAGAAGAACCTGAGCCTGTAGCAGACTCAACCCCAGTTAACGTACTGGAGAATGCTGATGCGAGCGCTGAAGTAGATGAACCTGAGCCTGCAGCAGCGGCAGTTTTGGAGCCTGTGGCTGAAGCCGCTGTAGATTCAACCATGGTGGAGGTGAATGAAAGTACTGATGCCGTGCCTTCCGTTGAACAATCTCAACCTGCTGTGGCAGAAGCAACAGCAGAGCAAACGGATTCAACAGATGTTTCATCTTCTGTGGCTCTAGCGTCCGATCTCTCTGCCCAAGCCGAGGAAACGGAGAAACCTTCAACCAGTTCAGGTCAGATCAACTTGTCAAATTCAATTGATTGTTAGCGAGATTTATGCACGGGTTAGTGAGTGATGAATGGGAACTAATGGTTCTGTGTGTGTGTGTGTGTGTGTGTGTGTGTGTGTGTGTGTGTGTGTGTGTGTGTGTGTGTTGTATGAGTGTGTGTCCATGTGTGCGCTCGTGTGTTTGTGTGTGTTGTATGAGTGTGTGTCCATGTGTGCGCTCGTGTGTTTGTGTGTGATGTATGAGAGTGCGCGCGTGTTCATGCGCGCGCTTGTGTGTGTGTGTGTGTGTGTGTGTGTGTGTGTGTGTGTGTGTGTGTGTGTGTGTGTTGTCATGTTCACTTTACACACCTTCACAAGAAAAGTATAACTCTTGCCAGACTGTTGCGTCGGACTTTCAGTCTGTGTGTGTGTGTGTGTGTGTGTGTGTTTGTGTGTGTGTGTGTGTGTTTTAGATTTTCACCACAACAGCCCCTGTTCCACCCAGATGAGTAGATGCAAAATCAAAACCGTTTTACGGTTACCTCTATTGCAGAAAATGAAGCACACTTGAGATGAGCCAATCCAAACAATGAAACAGTTTTACCTGTATAGCAAGCAACATGGAGCACAATAGAAGATCCATTATATCCCTTTCTTTACTATCTTTACTTTGTTTTTTTGGGGGGTACCCTTTCCATTTGTTCTTGCAGCTCGCTTTTACTGTGCAAATGTTCAGCTTATATTTTGTCTGTTCTCTTAATGATGCTCATTCATATGCGTTTACTAGCACTACACAAGGGGAGGGAGGAAGGCAAGGGGTAGGGGGTAGAATTCTGTAGGAAGCAAGGGGCGGGGGAGGGAGAAGGGGTAGAGGAGGGAAATGGAGGCGCAAAGAACAGAACAGAGGAAAGATGAACATCACAAGGTTCTCAATTCTCACCGGCAGCACACTACTCTAGGATGGCACAAGAGGCCAATCAGTGTTTGGGTTCCAGGAGATTTTGACTTGAGGAGCTGCCGTTGCCTTTGGTAAGCTGCCACGGCTACAGACCAGACAGGATCGGATCGGGTGTGGACTGTACAAGACCGCATCCAATCCTTGCAGTTGCAGTTGCAGTTGCAGTTGCAGTTGCTGCATCGAATGGCATGGTGTAGACAGATGTCACAGGCTATGTGGCTCCTACATACATACTTGGAACACAGAGGGCGTTGGCGTTCCAGCCCCCTGTCTACAAATTGGACATGACATATCAGGGTGCTGTACATGAGTACAGTACTGACTATCGTCAAAAGTACGAAAACCGAAACTTGCATGGGCTATCCCTTCACGTCGTCCTCACGACGTGCAGCATGTGAATCACATGCTAACCAAATCTCAGGTGGGCCATCGCAAAGCAAGTTTCTTGGGTTTCTGCAGTCATTACCCCCGTCTCTACCGACGAGGACTGATCCAAGGTAAGGGTGTTTAGCTGTTGCAAGATTTGGTCTGCAGCAGCTTGCCCTGGCGGTGATAACCTTTCAGTACAGCACACCGTACGTGGTTACATGTGATAGTCTATTTTCCTCCTGAGGCTGCTGTGTCTGTTGTTCCTCTGGCAAGGATGTGAAGGAGATCGCAGCCATTTACGCATGGCATATCAAGACAGCTTCATGAAAACATTGACGACGCATGGCATGTTGCTGACATGCAAACAGGAAAAAAGCAGGCTGACGTTCGCAGCCATTTACGCATGGCATGTCAAGACCACAATGGCATATTGGGCAGGCGGGGCAGATAATGAGGGGGKGGGGAAGATAAGTGCAGGACAATGGGTTACAATTTTTTCGCGGCAGAGGCTGGCAGTGACCATCCCTGCGTAGTGTTGGGAGCAGAGGTTACGCCTTGCGCGCATGCTAACTAAACTGTAGCTGTGCGGAGACACAACGGCATGGCACAGCCAGCACCGTGTGGAGTGGGGTCTTCGCCATCCGTGGTCGAATCTGTCCGATCTGCTCAGGGAAGGGATGCTGCCTGGCCATGTACAGGGGAGGGGGGAGGCTCAGCCGGATTGTTCTACGGAGTCTGTAGAGCTTGTGAGTGCACATCTACGGATAGACTGAGTGGGATCCTACCACCCAGTGATAGAAAGAGTTAATATTTCCAACCTTGTGCACCCTACCGCCATTGTACCATAGAGTCCATGAGTTATCTGCGAAAAAGGTAACAGCACTGAAATGACCTGGATGATGCAGAATATACACACAAATATCAGGGTCCATGTCTGGTGTGTAAATCTGTGGAGCGGGCTGGAGTTGCAGTCGTCTTCCCGTAAATGCCATAGACAGCACTTGTATGTTCACGCCAGGCGCAGTACTGTCATCCTCTCTTTTTCTATCCAGCGGACAACGTCTGGAAAAATCAGACACCGTAGAGGGGTTGCAATTGTAAGAGAGCAGACATAACTAATTGCGTAGTACGCACAGTGGGCTCGCTGTGGCACAGTGATCAGATCATTTGATTCTGTAGATTGGCTGGTAGGGGCAGCTTGCACCGTAGGGGAAGGTTCAATCCGGACAATTTCTGTCATTTTCCTCTGGACGTACTAACTCCATTGACTCTAGCATGCGTTCCGGAGATGGATCATCTCCAGTCTAGGAGGCGGCAGTGATCAGAAGGTGGATGATTGTCAGTTGGAGTGGGGGAGCAGTCATGGCTAGTTGGGTGAGAAGTGGGTGGGTCAGATGCAAGAAGCAGAGGCTGATGAGCCGCACTTGTGCTCAGTGTGGCTGCTAGTCGTGCAAGTTCTGCACAGGTGGCTGTACCTCGTGTCTGCTGCGCATGCAGCCCTGCAGCACTGTAAAAATCGTTGGCACCTTGTGGGCATCAGACTCGGTCATACTATTCCTGGCTAGTGTGTATTCCGAGCGACGACATTGTTCCGTAGGGTTGCGAGTGCGGCGTAGGATCAGATCTCTAACCCCTGCTGGGGGCACGATGGTCATGCTGTTCAAGTACAAATGAGGCCACTGTCTAGGAGGCGGCAGTGGAAATGGGGAACGTCCCATCGAAGAGGCGTCTGTGATGGCCAATCTGACCATGAATGCGGCTAGGTCCCTCATCGAATCGGCCCCCAAAAACCACCGAGTGGGACTAAGCAGGGCGCTAGCCAGACTCCTGTCCACCAACCAGACCTCTGTGCCATTCGATCTGAACATAATTGTGTTGATGATGAAGGGGAGGCATGCGACGGGGAGGAGGCCGAAGAAGAGGAGGCCGTTGACGGAGGGGATGATGCAGTAGAAGATGTAGGTGGGAGCTGGTGGTGATGGTGATGGTGGTGGTCGTGGTGGCGGTGGTGGTGGTGGTGGTGGTAATGATGGAGGTATACTTTCAGCAGCAGCTGCATTGGAAGGATGCAGGCCATCATCCCTTGCAGCCACTTGGACAACATTTACTTTGTCTGTTACGGCTGGCCTGGTTTCCAGCTGAGTGCAGTATCCACCATGGCAGCAGCTGCAGCATCAGTGACGTTGTGTGTGTGTGTGTGTGTGTGTGTGTGTGTGTGTGTGTGTGTGTGTGTGTGTGTGTGTGTGTTTGTGTTCGTGTATTTGTGTGTTTGTGTGTGTGTGTGTGTGTGTGTGTGTGTGTGTGTGTGTGTGTGTGTGTGTGCACGTGTACGTGCCTGTGTTGCGCATGCATGTATGTGTACAGAAACTGGAAAGTTGGGAAAACAAACGGCAACAAGGCGCAACCGACTTGGTGTGGGGGTTTTGACTCATCATCACCAGTGCCGGCTGCTAATTTTGCCCTCCATATTCCCACTCTTAGAGTCTCATTGCGAAGTTTCTCCTAGCTGACGACTGCTGCAGATGGCACCATCTCGAGTACCTACCATGTTTACAACAAAGTTCAGCAATCGTTTCAGCGTGTCCATACAAAAGTGAGCGTTCGTCTTAGGAGGTCTGTTGTTCGGGCAATTTTTTTGCAGTCTTGCAAATGTTCGATGACTAGAAGAAGAAGTAAACCTAGGATCTGCTGGGCTGGGTGCAGACTGACACCTTTCGCGTGGTGTGTGTTACGGGCTTGTGATGCGTCCTTCTTCCAGATGTCAAAATCACTGCGGCCCTCGTGAAGGAATTGCGAGAAGAGACCGGGGCAGGCATGATGGACTGCAAGCGAGCACTTGAGGAGACCAAGGGGGACAAGAGCAAGGCGCAGGATCTGTTACGAAAGAGGGGCCTTGCGAAGGCTGACAAGAAGGCAGCGAGGATTGCTGCCGAAGGACTCATTGTGAGCTACATCCACGACAACCGTATCGGTGTTTTGCTGGAGCTCAATTGTGAGACTGACTTCGTTGCGAGGGGTGAGAAATTCCGGGAGCTGGCGGACGAAATTGCAATGCAGGTGGCAGCTTGCCAACAAGTTAAGTATGTTGACATCTCCGAAATTCCCGAAAGCGTGCTTCACACCGAGCGGTCAATTGAGATGGGCAAAGACGATATTCAGAACAAGCCAGAGGCGATACGGGAGAAAATTGTGGAAGGTCGCGTGACAAAGCGTCTGGGTGAGGTCTGTCTCATGGAACTGCCGTATATCCGCAACGACAAACTGTCGGTGAAGGACCTTGTGAAGCAGGCAGTAGCCACAATAGGTGAAAACATCAGGATACGGCGATTTGTGCGATACGAGCGTGGAGAGGGTATCGAGAAGAAGGCTGTCGACTTTGCACAGGATGTCGCTGAACAGATGAAGGCAATGAGCGGCGCAACATCGCAAGAAAATGCGCCAAGTGCTGCACCCCCAGCCCCAGCTCCCGCCGCTGAGGACGCGGAACCTAATCCTGAAGCGAGCCCTGCTGCAAAACCAGTACCTCTTGCAGTTATCCAGCAGCTGCGTCAAGAGACCGGCGCTGGAGTAATGGACTGCAAGAAAGCTGTTGCCGAAGCAGATGGCGATGTGGAGAAAGCGAGGGAGTGGCTGAGAAAGAAGGGTCTGGCGAGCGCCGAAAAGAAGGCGAGCCGCACAGCCGCAGAGGGAGTCATCGCGAGCTACGTTCATGACTCGAGAATCGGTGTTGTAGCGGAAATTAACTGCGAGACGGACTTCGTTGCGCGGGGGGAGAAATTCCAGGAGCTTGTGGAGGACATCTGCATGCAGATTGCCGCATCGGCAGATGTTGTCGCGGTCTCAGTATCGGATATCCCGGAGGAATTTGTTACGAAGGAGAGGGAAATCGAAATGGGGAAAGAGGACATACTGAGCAAGCCAGAAGCCATCAGAGGCAAAATTGTTGAAGGGCGTGTCGCCAAGCGCCTGAACGAACTTGCGTTGCTAGAGCAGCCCTTTATCCGAAACGACAAGATCCTGGTGAAGGACTACATCAAAGAGGCTGTCGCTTTGCTAGGGGAGAATATTACCGTAAGGCGGTTTGAGAAGTTTGTCCTCGGGGAGGGTTTGGAGAAGAGGGTGACAGATTTTGCTGCAGAAGTTGCTGCGCAGGCGGGCGGAGCAGCTTAGGTTATCTGAGACGTCTCTGTTTCAACTAATGTCCAAATTCTTTGTATTCAGTCATTCGTAGGTTACCAGTCTGTCGCTTCGCTTTCACTTTCCGCTTGCGCTCGCGCTCCAGATGGTAGGTTGTAGTCTGGCAGTTGGTAGGTAGCTTCTTCAGATTGATCCTCCGCCACCTCTTTTTTAATCGAGAGAGATTGTGTTTGTTGCTACTCCGGCTCCTTTTTGACCCGTTGCTTCTTCGGCCGATGGCCAATGTGTTCTCTCTCACTTCTCTCTCTTCTTCTGATGTATATTGCCTCTATGACTTCTCTCTCACTCTTATGTATTTTACTATTTTGTCTCGTATGTATTTTCTCTATGGCTTCTCTCTTCTTCTGATGTATCTCGTCTCTATGTACTTTGTCTCTATGGCTTCTCTCTCTCTTCGTCTGATGTATTCTTGCTCTCTTCTCAGATTTACGAGAGACCCCCGCCAATGGAGTGGATTGTGTGAAACACAAACAATGCTGACAAAACATTGGTGCCCCAAAAAGGGAAGCCGTAATATATAATAGACTAATAGGTATAATATACTGACTTATTATATGTATAGCATATTTGTACTATACGCATCAAGAAGGTTCAGCCTCCTGATGTGGCCGTGTATCTTTCCACGCTCTAGCGGGAGATGCACATGTCGTGAGTAGGGGAGCGAGACCCTAAAACTACAATTCTGAATTATGTTTAGGGCCGGGGCCAGCGACGCTCTGTGGGGAGAAAAAAAAAGAATGAAAAGAAAGGAAAAAAAAAGCCAAGCACACGTGAAAATGTCTCGCCATATCGTCGCTATGTACTTGAACATGAAGATGCAGACCGCCATAGCCAGGTAAGCTCCCTCGTCACTCTCCTCCTTGCTCACCGTCTTCCTCCTCCTACCTTTCCCTCCGATGCTCCTTATTGGTTCTCTCCGCCATAGCCGAGGTGGAAGGCCAAGGCAGCCTTCTTCCTCACCCAGCGTTGAATCGGCTGGCCCGGGCTGGGTGCCCGCACCAGCAGCATGCCTCCAGACTGCACACAAACCAATGAGGTGGAGCACTTTGCCTCTCAGTTTGATATACCTGGGGAAGTTGCTTCAAGGCCGTGGGACCTCCAAGTCTACCCGGCACCTCCCATTTTCGGAGGGAAACATCATTGCAGTCCCGTATCCCGTCCTGCAGGCTCTGGACTCAGGCTACTTGGACCGGTACCTTTTTCTCTAAGCCTACCGGACTCTAAATTCTACTTCCGAGTCTCCCAAGCTACTAATTTTTGTCTTCTATTCCCTACCTTACCCGCTACTCGAGTGTTTATGGCCTCACAGGCCTTCCCTATGCTACTACCCCGCTGTACCAGCACAACAGAAGGCCACAGTTAAAGTACCAGGCTCGTGGGCTTTCCACGTACACAAGTACCCCAGTCGGTCACACACACACACACATCCATGCAATCATGTGGACAAGCAAACATACAGAAACTCAACAATCACACACACACACACACACACACACACACACACACACACACACACACACACACACACACACACACAAACTAAACCTTAACAGGATTCGGGAATCGCAGCCACTCACTCCAACAAGCAGCAAAACTTAGAAAACAGCAGGTTTCTCACTCTTTGATTTTGCAGGTCATTACATTCCCCCCCCCCCCCCACCTCCCTTAAGAGCGACTAGAGCCCTCAGAGTCCCTGCAAAATGCATCATACTATGATCATAGGCAGCAAAAATGCAAAGAGGGTTGTCAGCTGTTCGTGCGGAGTAAATTGCAAATGCCATTCATAGTCATTCCCCACACGAGGTGCAAACTTCAGTAAGACTTTTTTGCACTTGCCCGTGTAACCCCGCGTTTGAGTTAAGTTGTTCATGTGGACTAAGTTGCAAGTTACCCGATACAATATAATTCGTTTAGCGGATAACACAGAAAAACGGACAATGGACTTTATATATTATCTGTCTTCTCCTTTTCCTTTTCCTTTGCCCGCACGTGTGTTACTGCTTAAGGGCCTCGCCGCACGGCACATGAAACAAAAACGAGACGAGTGCATCTGGCGACGAAAGGTGGAAAAATACACTCGTTACTGTGCATAGAAAACTGATGAACCTGGCCATTTTCTGCCGGAAGCTGCACTCGTTTCGTTTTTCGTTTCGTGCGCCGTGCGGCGACGCCCTAAGTTTGTCAACTTTGTGACCACCATTAATAGCACGAGGGATCGTTGGATCACGATCAGTAAAGGAAGTAGCAGTAGCAGCAGCAGCAGCAGCAGCAGCATGTGGATAAAGCTAAGAAGCATGAAAGGCTGGATATGGGCGCAAATGAGATGTGGCACGGTGATCTCATACGAAGGCCGCAATACAGTGGGAGTAAGTTACGGGACACTCCATCTGAAAACTGAGGCATTTTCACCCAGACATAATCTCCTTCCGTAAAAAGTTGCAGGCCTGCGTCGACAATCGCCGAACCGGACAATGACGTCATTGCGCATGCTGCGATTGCAAGTTTGAGCAAGCGCTGGTACTTTACGCTGTAGCCAAGCATGTTGGGTGTCGGATGGGTCAAGGAACAAGAAAGAAGAAGAATTGACGATCTGTCACTCGATACTGCGGCCTGTTGGGCAGCATGCCTGTGGCGCAGTGACTGGAGTTGTTATATAACCCTGCACCACGTCTTACTCGTCAGCCCAAGTGTTCAGATAGGGCATGATTAGAGCACGGAGGAGTGGAACGACAATCCGGTTGATCTCTTCATCTTGTCCATTTGCTTCTGGTCGACGACCAGATGTCATTTGATACTCAGTTCAATTCTGCAGAGCTAACTAGTGAAATCCTTCCAGTCTGAATTGATAAAGCGCGGGTATTCCGATCACTCACAAGAGTTTCCAGGGGACCAATCTGCAAAATATACTGCTGTTCAAATTCGCGAATGATCAGATGAATTGGTGCATGTGGCAGTGAAGGAATCGGATTGAGAAATTTTGGGAGGTGATCGAGAATCATCGGAGGTGGCAACCAGGTGCCCACAATCGCACCCACCTGCCCCAACGCGCGCACAAGGTAATTGGGGTCGGGCTTGGATCTTCCTTTGCCTCTTCTTGGATGGGGGACGGGCGTGTGCACGTAGTGGACGGGTCTGCGTCATGGGCGAGTCAATTTTGGCTCTGGGTGACAGGGCGGGTCCATATTATCTCTGGGTCACCTGACCCACAGACGCAGGACCACAAAATAAAATGCCATCCCCCACCGCCCTTCCTCCCCTTTCCTMCCCCCCCCCTTTCCCGCATCCCCTTTCCTCCCCCCTTTGCCCCCTCCCCTTCCTAACCCCCCATCCCAAAACACGGGCCTGTGTACAGTTGCTTTGGGCACCCAAGCACTTGATCAGCACATGAATCTACAGGGAATCAATGTTATATTATATTATATTATTACTATATTATATTATACTATTTATAAAGGGAACAGCGGGTCTCGCGTGACGCTCCCGTGAGCCCGAGTTCCCTGTGTTGGGAAACAGTGATTGGGAAACAGTGAGGGACAAGGCGTTGGGGCCAAAGGGAAACCCGCTGAAATTGTTGTTTCTTCTGTCGCCGTCCACGCGCTTCGTAGTTTTTTCCCCGCTCGTGGGAGATCAAGGCCACGGCGGCACTTTCGACTTTTCTTTTGTGCCCGTGGGAGTTCAAGGCGCGGCGGCGCTTTCGTCTTTTCTTTTGGGCCCGTTTGAGTTCAAGGCGCGGCGGCGCTTTGTTTCCGTTCGCGCTGTTCGAATACAATACAAGTTCATAGCAGCCCTTTTCAGTGTGTTTGAGGCCGGCCCGCCACGAATACAAGTTCATAGCTGTGCATTTTAGCGTGTTCAGATTCAATGCACAAAAGACACAGGATATGGAGACTTACCTGTTCTCTCTCCCTCTCTATGTGCGTCTCTCTCTCTCTCACACACACACACACAAAGAGTAAAAAAAAAAGTGGTAGTGTATATTTCCATGTTCTAGCGGAAGATTCATTCCAATTTTGCTCATCCTATCGATGTAGCCTCTCTATCTCTCTGCTCACGTGGCTGGAGAGCAGTGGATATTTCGGTGTTCTAGCAGAAGATTCATTCCGATTTTGCTCATCCTATCGATGGAAGTAGCCTCTCTCTATCTATTTGCGTGCATGGCTGGAAAACTCTCTCTCTCTCTCTCTCTCTCTCTCTCTCTCTCTCTCTCTCTCTCTCTCTCTCTCTCTCTCTCTCTCTCTCTNCTCTCTCTCTCTCTCTCTCTCTCTCTCTCTCTCTCTCTCTCTCTCTCTCTCTCGGCGACATTTGCATCTGATAGCTCCTTAGTTCATACTCACACAAGGATTTCTTTTCAACGTATCTGTCCGTTGCGGTGTATCTTCCTATGTTCTTGTGGAAGATTCCTTCTAGTTTTGCACATGGGCAGGCTGCTCAGTTGATGCACACATGAAACTGTTGAATTGCAGATGTGAGTTCTCCAAGAGCGACCAGAATAAAATAGTTCTGATTTACGAAGGATGCAACGGCATGCTGATGCCTTGGCCGACGCCCCTCTTAATGCTGCGCGTCCCTCATGTTCTAAAACAAATGCCCTCAATGTCGCCCAGGCCAGATAATGGCCGTGCCTGGGGTGGGCCTGGTGCTGGGCCGTGGCTTCGCCGCGGCAGGTTCACTTGTTTCATTAAAATCAGGATTGTGAGGATTGATTTATAGCTCGTTTCGTCCAGGACTTTCTGAAAATTATTGACAAGGTGTTTTGTTTGTTAACAATAAGCTATTGAGGTGTTTTTTTTTTTTTGTAATTGGCATTGTCAATATTGTTGATGTGTTAATACTAACTTAATAGTAATATCTGATTATATTTCAAATGTCTTTGTTGCAAAGTCATGTTATCGATAAAGTTGTAATAGTGTAAGGGACTGACACGGTCGGGAAAAATTTAGGTATAGGGTGCGGCCGGGTAATGGTATTCTTATGGGTGTGGGTAGCTCTGGGTGAGCGCTTTATTTGGGTGAAGAGCAGGTCGGGAGTGGGGCTGGAAAAAAAAAAAAATGTTTTGGGTCGCGTGGGTGGTAGAATTTTTTTTTAAGGCAGGTTTAGTGAAAGGTGAAAATTGTTTTTTGACATCGAGATCGAAAGGGTTGGGTAGTGACTTCAGCAGACCAAGGGGTCGTTGTCTATGGATCTTTGTCATTCGACAAACTCGCATTCCGCCATAAATTTCGTGCAGATTCCTTCATGATAGGCCAGTCATATTGTTGCAATAAACTTACATATCAAAAGTGTTTGCTCCTACCTCGTGCCAT